TTAATTTAATAAGCAACATTTAACATCCATTTCTTGGGTCACTGGCCTAGACCTGAGGAGCACAGAGATGAATGAGAGACTCCCTGAGCTGGAGGAATCCATTCAGCAGAGAGGGAGCTGGAGACGGAAACATCATGATGATATCATGTGACAAGGTTATAACAGAGATCAGCACAAAGTGGGCAGAGTGAGAGCAAGGACAGGAGGATAGGCGGAACTCGTGTCACAGTTTCGTCTCTCAGAGGAGCTGAGAGCAGGAAGTCAATGGCAAGAGAGATGTATGGGGCTGTAGCTCCATGTCTCCTAGCGTCCCCTTTTCTCCTCCCTCATCTCCCCATCTATTCAGCCAAGGCAGAGCAATTGTGAGCAGGGCCTCAAGCCTCAGGGCACTAAGACAAAATTCATAAAAGGAGCCCTTCATCAAGGCATGCTTGTAGGATGTCCTATGCCGACTACCAGGTTTCTCTCTTTAGCGTGCGATATAGACAAGGTATCTGTTTCCTGATAATAAGCGTGAAATTATGCTAACAGAAACGTTACATACAGTGTTAGGGAAAAGCCATTCATATTCCAAGGGCAGGTGTGGCAAGAGTGGCTCCCTTTCTCAGATCAGACACCCAGAAATGCTGTTGCACACAAGACATTCTTCCCAATGTGCCCAGAGCAGGGACCCGGGTTACAGAATCCGTGCCTTGGGTCTGGATCTAGACAGCAATCCAAGGTTTCCACCAGGTGACAAAAACTATCTCCTTGATCAAACTCTGGTCAGGCTCCTCTGAGCCCTCTTTTCAACTAGGCCTCAACCTTTAACTATAAACACTGCAGGCTCTTCACACCAAGTATTTCATCCCCCTCCCCACACTAAGAGACTTGATCGAATACTAGCATAGTTTCTAACAGCTCAAGGCTGCATCCCTGAGATGGCCCCAGCCCCCTTTCAAGTCCTGCCTGAGAAAGCTCAACTGGCCAGGTGAGTTCAGTTTGTTCCGGCCAAAACCTGGTGATAAGGCAAATCACTCCCCTGAACGCCTCACTCTTAGAGCAGTTACTTTAGAAAGCTCGCAATGATAAATCCGTTCTCTCCGCTTTTGAGATGTAGATCTTTTACCACCCAGAACTGTCCCTGCCCAGTGGGTGCCTTGGGGCAAGGAACGACTGTGTTCAAACTCTGCACGCGTGTGCGACGTGTGTGCTGAATGCAGGTATCTGGGAACCTAGCACCGGGGCGCCCTACCGCTATCCCAAAGGAAACTGCATGCGTTTTGTCAGAAATGAATGCGAAACTTGGAAACGTCTTCAAGGGGAACCATGGGTCCTCAGTCGCAGGCTGCAGCGAAGAGAATCCAGGGAAGGCGGGACAGCCGAGGGGGAGGGGACTCGCGACACCGCGCGTGGTCCCCCTCTTCCAGCTCGCCCCTGCCTCGGCCAATCATGACCTGCGGCCCCCATCACTACCCAACGAAAGCGGCCATGGCCTACTGCGCCGGCGCGCGGAGCGGTGCATGTCGGGACGTGTAATTTCCCCCGCGGCATTGTGGGAGTCGTGGTTTGCGTGCCCGCCGGACGCCGGATCTTCGGCCGCTTCGAACTGTAAGTGGATGACTTCTGGGTCGTCGGGACCCTGACCCGAATCCTGACGGCTTTTGGGGGGCGCTGGGGTGTCTGGCGGCCAGCCCTGCGTTCGCGCTTTCTCTCCAAGATGCCCGCCAGTCGGCCCTCGGCCGCGCGGCGCCGGCTCTCGGGGTGGGAACCGGGAGGGTGACGGCCGCCACGGCCCCCACTTGCGGAGCGTGCCTGCCTGGCTAGGTCGTCCAGGCGCCGCGACACCCGCGGATCCGGCGCCGGAGGCGGCGTGTTTAGGCTGTCACGCGTGGTCCGGGCGGGGCCCAGTGTTGCTTCTGGCCACAGGGTGTTGGTCTCTGAGAGGTTTGGGGGGGACGAGGGAATTTTCAGGGCGCCCTGAAGGGAAGCAGTGATCCCCCTTGGCCCTCATCGTTGGGTCCGAGCGGGACAGGTATCGCCCCGAAAGTATCGGGGCCGGAGAGGACACTGGCCCGGGCCTCCGGTTACCGAGGAACTGAGACCCAGCCCCTCCGGCCCAGGGAACGCCGGCCGGCTGGCGAGCGAGGCTCGGAGGCTGTTGACCGAGTGACGCCCAAGCTTCTCCTGGCGCCCCTTCTCCCCACACCTGCCCCTACTTAACGGGACTGAGAGGTGCAGACTGCGAATGACAGCTTCGGAAAGTTCAGACTGAGGACCGGAAGGCACCACCCTTGGGTTTGCTAGGTGTGCCAACGAGAAAAAGTAAATGGTGGACAGTAATACATTGTCCATATTGCTTTAGTTGGCCTGACCAAGATAAGCTAATAGCTTTTCTGTTTTTGAGGAGAAATCTGGCAAAGGGGGGAAAAAAAATCAAGATGTTTTTGCAGTAAAGGAAATAAAATTATTTCTATCTAAGCCATTGTTACTTTTGAGTTGTAAGCTAAGGCTAGTGGCTAGTTCCAGGGTAAGTTGAAAACGTTCTGCACTTCATAGATTTTATACCTCTCAAAATAGTCCCCATCTTGCTGGCTTTTGCAGTTCAGCTGCCTCCCGTTTCTAATGTTGCATCAGGTGTGCACATGGCAGCAGAGCAAATAGCCTGCTGATAGTTTTAGCTCGCTCAGCTCTCAGTTGCTGAAGTCCTGCAGGATGCTACAAAAATGGCAGTGTGGGAGCATGTAATTCAGGGAGATGGGGGGGAATTATAATTTGGAGGCAGTGGGTGCGAATGAGCTGCATTGATCTGCCCACTGGTCTCCCACCCTCGCAGCACCCCTTCCACTGCTTTGCAAGTTGAACTACTTTAAATGTTTCTTTCCTAAAGAGCTTGGATTTTATTACTCTAGGTATGAAGTCGAGGCAGTTGCCAGTATACGTTTACAGTCAGATTCTGTGATGTCAGAGAGAAGGGTGACTTACAAATTCCAGAGTTGCAGAGTTGTTCTTCGGAGTCTGATTTTTAAAAAATGAGAGCAGTTTGTTTCAAAGAAGTTAATGACTTGCCCCTGTTAATGACGCATGACCTGCCATCGGTGCCACCAAGAATAGAGTCCAGATCTCCAATTTTCCTGGTCCTCTGGTTGTTGTTCTTTATACCATGCACTGCTGTCGTGCAATGACTGTTTTTGCCCCAGATGCAACTTGTCTATGTTGTAAAGTTCGGCATGTCCATTAGTGCAAGGAAAGATATTGAACATGACAATAATGGTTAATATTCATTTAGTGTTTTCTATGTGCTGAGCGTGTTGCTTAGTTTACAGTTACAGATGAGGGAGCTGAGGCTTGGAGAGGCCAAGTGATTTGTCCAAGGTCACATCCCTAGGAAACAATAATACAGCAGGTCCTCCAGTAATGTCTTTTGTTCATCATGGTTTCATTATAATGTTGATAAGGTGTTGTAGGAACTTAACTCTTGTTTTATCAATTAGCCTATGGTAAAATTGGTTTCATTAAAAGTCTCAGTACCTATTGAAGACATTTCATGAACATAATATCCCTGGTGGCCAGAGGGCCAGACCGTTGGGTGTTCTTTTTAATTTATTTTCTCCTATAAGCTTTTTGTCCAGTTTGTTGTCCTTGACCTTGGGAATCAATATCTTACATCAATTCATTAGGTATATAATATGGCTTTAGAAAATTAGTGGGGCACAACCAAACTTGTCTATGATTTTTGTACACAACTCAAAGCAGGAGTTGTAAAAATAAAATTTATACTTTAAACATTTTATTTTAATTGACAACATGGCTAATCCCTGAGATTATTAGAGATTACTCAAAGTGAAAATTCTAGCAACAGGTTGTAACCTATTAGAAATGTATTTAGTGCAGGTCAAAATCTGCTGCTACGTAAGGGCGAAGAGGCCATTTATACATGAAGGTAATGAGCACCTTCAATCACCATCATCACATTTAAACAGATTTGTGATATAAATTCCTTTTGTTAGCTTATCTGACTTTGAAGAAGTCATGGGGGAAAACTTGGTTATCCTGAAACAACTGCCAGCTTGTTTATAAGCTACTATGACCTTGAATAGATGAGGTATGAACTTTCTGTATTTAGATGCTTTTGTAAGTGAAAGTTTTTACAAAATATCTTCCCTGAAGTTCATTTTATCCCCATTCTAAAGGCCTGTGAAATTTTCTGTTGCTTTTCTTAATTCTAATTGTAAGTACATTTAAAGGAAAGCATCCCTGTGATTTTTTAGTACAAAGCTCTCTGCTTGCATCAGGATAACTCTGGAGCCAGATTGGAGGAGTCGAGCCCCAGTTCGCCAGTGTGTGAACCCATGACATATGTTTCCCTGTCTTTGAAGTGGAGACAGTGGACTGTACCTCATAGGACTGGCGTGAAGACTGAATGAGTTAGTGCATCCAACACACTCAGCCCAGTTGGGCTCAATAAAGTAAAGCTGTGATTATTATGCTGTGAGTCTCTAAATTGCAGAAGAAGTAGGGGCCCTGAGCCCACCTAGTTGACACCTCCTTTCTTCATTTGTAGATGGGACCAAGGCCCTAAGAGGGAAGTCATTTGCCAGAGTGTTAGGCTCTTCATCCAGAGCTCAAATCTTCTGACTCTTGGGGTATGTGTCATAGTCTAAAAATAGTGACATATGATGCTTCAGCGCAAATCCTGTGCAGGCTGTGTCCCTGCCTTGTCATTTACTGCCTCACCTTCCCTGGAGTCTCCCTCACATTTCAGAGGGAATTCTAGATATGAATTGCTTTCTTAGGACAAATTTTTCCCTATCATTTATTCCCTTCCCTCCAGATATTTTTTTAAAAACCAAGATTTGCTTAATTAACACTCAGAGGACCGGAGAAACGGTCAGTCATCCACAAACCAGCTCTTGTTCAGGGCAGGAGGTGGGTGGAGGAACCAATTTTGGACCTGGGCTCTTATGTTCCCAGAAGGGGAGCTCATAGCTCATGTCCCCTTAGGAGCAGCACTGCCACTGCTGTGGGGCTGTGCTCCCATCCCCAGCAAAGATCAGCCAAGGAGACCTTTCTGCTCAACAAGGGCCAAGCCTGTGTCGGCCCGCACCCAGGGCGTCTGCTTTCCAGGCTCTGGCTCGCCTTGCTGGGGACACTTAATCCTCCTCTCTGCAGAGCTTGCTGTCTTTGCCCATGTGCCCTCTCCCGTCTTCTGAAGGGAGTCTGCTCTAGAAAACCCAAACTGACCTGTTGCTTCTTTTCCCCACCAGCCCAGCGAGACCTGACCACCTTCCAGCTCCGGCTCCTCATGTGCTTGTCCGAGTGGCCCTCCGTGGAGTGGGAGTGAATTCACAGTTCGTCCAGCATGAACTGGAAAGTGAGAATAGTTTGAAACATTTATGGCTTTCGGTTTTCTTTCTCCTGTTTGTGAAAATTCAGAATACGAAGTAAACCAGGAATCATAATAATATTTAATATTTTATTTTAAGTTAAAACATACAAGTCTACTTTTCTCACCAGATTTCTGGACAAAGCTAGGCCTTTTCTGTGAGTGGGTGTCAGTTGACTTCAGATCTGCCTGACTTTTCTTGCAAAAACTATGCCTTTGAAGTTTCACCTACAGTTTCACATTTTGATTTCTTTAAAATGGATTAAGATCTTATGAAGCAATCTACATATGAAGTCTTTCTAGATTTTTATGCTCGTCTTCCCTAATCTTTTACATTTGTGTTGCCAACATGCATTTTTTTTTCTCCAACTCAAACTTGAACATGCATTAAAAGCATTCAACTTCGTTTTCATGGAAACAATCTTGTTTACATAGTCCTATTTCCTAAGTGTCATGTTTAAATAAATTATCTACTATAGCATCGAGTACAACTTAACCTGGCTGGGGAATAAACACAACTGACCCCAGTAAAACGTTGTATTTAGCTGGTGGAGCAGAAGTTCAAGGGCGACTGAAGAGTAGCCTGCTAGCTGCCTGCAGTCAGCTGTGCCAGCTGCTCTTACAGAGGGAGAGCAGCAGATCGAGATAAATCCCCACAATAGGTGGTGTGAGGTGAAGGTTGGCTAAGAGAGCAGCCTCGAAAACATTTTATTGTAGATACTTTGAAAAATATAAAATCAAATAAAAATTACTTATCGTCATACCATCCAGAGAGGGCTACTTTGAACAATGTTGATGTATTTTTTCAAGATACATTAAGTGTAGTGTATATTGGGTTGTCAGAAGAGTCATGATGCATTTTTGCAACGAAAAACATAGAAAAAATATGTTATGACTTTTCCGACAACCCAATATTTTCAAACTTAGGATCACGTATGTACTTTTTAAATTATTATAAGCATTTCCTTGTTTCAAAAAAATTTTGTTGGGGTGGACTAGATCTACACCAATTGTTTTGAAGGAGCCCCAATACCTGTGTCACGAGAATGGCTGACTTCTTAAATAACGAGGCCACACTCATTGGCTAGTAATGCACAGGTATGGGTGACTATCGCTGATGACCGCAGGCCCGACAGGCCAGAAAGGCAAGGGCCCAGGCTGCACTGGACCTACCTAATCGGTATTTTATTTACCTCTTTGAAGGTTTGCATATTTCAAGACTTAATATGAGGGATTCGTTAGAGATCAAAGGGAGGGATTTAACACACTGAAGTTTAGTACTCGAGAGGGGCAGGAACCGCCCTGAACCCTTTAGCTTTAGCCCTCGTAGTGTCCTTGACCCCTGCTGCCGCTGCTTTGCCCCTCTTAGTCCTGAAACTTCTGCCTCTTCCACCGCCTCTCCAGTACCTTTAAAAACAAAGTACACACAGAAACCACTTACCTGTGTCCTTTTGTTGATGTGCTTCCATTTCAGTGGGTTTTCTAAATCTGGTTGTGTGGTATGATAAAAAAATATAGTGAATGCTGCTGCTGAGCACCATCCAACAGAGAGGCAGAGATCAAACCTAGTAACAGTGTGTGACAAGTTTCAGCTTGTTCCGTGCAGTCAGTCGGGGTGTGAGCTACTGCTGAGAGAAGGTGTGTTTTAAAGTGTGCTGTAAATCATGGATCATGAACAGCGAATTAATGTGAAAATTTTTTTCAAACTAAAATACTAAAACACATGAAATGTTAAAATTAGTTTATGGTGATCCTGAACTGATCATGAAGATGGTTTACAAGTGGTTCGAGCGATTTCATAATGGTTGTGAATCGATTGAAGATGAGGAGAGATTGGGCTGTCCTTCCACATCAGAAACCCAAGAGAATGTTGAAGAGTAAGCGAAATTGTTTGATCAAACAGGCGATTGACTATGAGGGAAATTTCTGAGGATCTGAACATCCCTTATGATTCTGTTCAAAGCATTTTAACAACAGATTTGAACATGGGGCAAGTGAGTGCAAAATTTGTTTTATACGTTTTGATTGTCAAATGCAGAATATGTGCATTTCACTGGAGTTGCACGATCATGCTGCTTTCAGATTCCAGCTTTTTAAGACACATCATCGCAAGAGATGTAACTTAGGCCTATGGTTATGATCCTGAGACCTAGTTTCCGAGTTCTCAATGGAAAACACCCAGTTCTCCTCATGTGAAAACAACACGTCAATCAAGATCTAACATCAAGGTGATGTTAATTGTTTTTTGACCTTGATGGAATTGTGCAAGCTGAGTTTGTACCCAGGAACACTGTGGTGAACTCTGAATATTATAAGGGCTTATCTGAGCATTTAAGAAACGATATGCATAGAAAATGGCCTGAGAAATGGGCAAACAGTTTCATCTTCCATCATGACAACACTTCGTGTCACATCATTTCTGGCATACAGCAGTTTCTGTCGAATAAAAACATTACAGTGTGTCCTCATTCACCTTATTCGCCGGACCTGGCACTGTGCAACTTCTGGCTCTGCCCCGAAGTCAAAATGATGCAGGACATCGAGGCAGCCATGACAATGCAACCAAAGACACTCACAAAAGAGGACTTCCAGAACTGCTGCAGAAAATGGCAAGAACCATGGGATGAGTGTGTTTGAAGTGAGGGGGAGTATTTTGAGGGGGATTAATGGCAGTGTGTCTTTTACTGTAATAATTTTTTTTTTAATTTAAGCATTCACTGTATTTTTTGACCGTGCCTGTAACTGCTACAGCAAAGTTTTGTGTTTAGCTCATGGGGAACCATGGGCTGTGATGTGGGCTGGGTCATAATAGGACTCCAGAGGCTCACCTGCAGAGATGAGAGAATGAGAGAGACACTGTTCCCAGTACAAGTCAGTGCCCAGGTAGCCTAGAAAGTCCTAGTGAACTGAGAGGTTTATATCAACACACTGGTGAGTTTTGCCTCCAAGGAGGTAAAATGAGGTAACGTTTGGCATTCTTTTCTCTCATAGCTGGTTCATAAATGTGGAGTCAAGCCTCATCTCTCCAAAGTGAGAACCTTCAAGGAAGTAGATGAAGTAGAGGATTATTTGGGGGAAATGAGAGAGGTTTGTGGCAAATCTGAGGGAGGAAGGACCTGGAAACCAAATCAGTATTCCAAGCTGCTTATATTTGTCAGGATAAAAAGTTTCATATTTTTTTTAGTCTTTTAGACTAATTAACAGAGTGATCTTTCCGAATTGGGTTTGTTGTGTTTATTCTTGACCGTTAAATGATTCTGTGGTTGAGTTCTGCCTTTTTGTTTGTTTGTTTGTTTTTAGCTGAGCCATCCTGCCACCTGTTGGCAGCTCAGCGGCAGCTCAGCTCGGGCTGGGCATTGAACCGTTGTTGCTCAGAGCTTGCACTCTTGAGTGAGCTCTTAACCCTCTGAGCCATCGGCTGGCCCTGATTTTGTGGTTGAAAACTGTTATCTAGTTAATTCAGTGTTCTGATGTTCTTATTGTTTTAGTTAAAACAATTTAAATATTTGGATTCCTCCTTTTGATATTTGTTGTGTTCCTATTGCGTCACATTAACCTTCCTCAAATATCCATAAGTAATCAGTTAAATAACTTAAGAGGTCGTGACTCCAGTTGCCTTTGGTAAATTCAGTAGCCAAGCATTTGTTTATTTGCATAATTTAATTGTAAAATTGGTGAGGGTTGGAGAGAGCATCATATATGTTATAGCGTTGTGTAATGTTGAAGTGTTCAGACTTTGGATCAGTCAGAACTTGGTCAGACACTGCTTTTCAGACTTTGCTTTCTCAGCTATGAAATTCGGACAGTCTATATACCTCACAGGATATTATGAGGACTGAAGAGGAAATCTCTGTGAGACACTTAAGCCCAGTAAGCTCTCAGTGGATGGTCACTGATGCTACGTCTTCCAAACATGAAAAGTACACTAGGTCTGAGTCATAAAAATTTTGAATAAAATTATGGGAGCATATATGTACATAATTTGTGATTTCATTTCATTGAAAATCAGGAACCAGTGGAAAGGAGGCTGGCATCCCTTAAAATGTTCTGTTCTAGCTCTGACCTCATCATTAATTAGCTGTGTGGCATGGATGGGCCTCTCAACTGCCACCACTTTCCTTGTTTATAAAAGAAGGTGGTGGACCAAGTCATTTTTAAAATCCTCCTGGCCCTCCAAGTCTATGAGCATATTGTTCTCAGCTAAAGTTTTCCCTGACTAGTTTCAGATCAACTTGAAGCTCTTGGAGGGACAAATGTACTCCCTATAGTAGAATGTCATTGGAATTATATATAATAAATGATGTTTGGCAGTTTAACCTAATGATTTCATCAGAATAAATCCTACCTAGTCCTTTAGAACGATGATTACTCAACAAAGGCTATCCTTTCACTCGATTTGGGAATGAATGTTTAATCACACAAAAAACTCCTAATTATTTTCAGGTCATACTTACCATGTTTACGAAACTACTATAGTATTTGCCTTGAGATACTATTGTTCCATATAGATTTTCATAATGAAACCTACTGGTGCAAAGAGTGAGTAATTCCCATCAACGGTTACTCCTCAGACTTCGTTTTAGCCCATGCGTTAAAACTTCCGTTCAACAGGAGATTACAGGAACAGTGAATAAGTAGCTAATAAAATTTTGAGTTGTATTTTATTTTTATACTTATTTTATTTGCAAGTGCCAATGCTAGTGAGTAGTGGGAACCATAGGAAATCGTAGCATACTGCAACTGGAGACTCTGGAAGGGAGCTCTGGTCCAGCCTGTCTTCAGAGGTGGAGAGAAAAGTCAAGACTGACCCACGTCGCACAGTCAGTGGCAGAGTGGAGCCGTAGTCCAGGCCCCCTGGCCTGGCTCCTTTTGCTGGACCGCGCCACCGCCTCAGAAGCAGAGGGCCTGGGCGGTCGACAAAGCACACGGTCAAATTGTGAGAGACCAGGGCTATTACCTCTGTGTCCACTGGTGGGCCTCTGTGACGCCAGCAGTTAGGGGGACAGGAGGGACTGGCCAGAACTAGACTGTCAGCACAGCGGGGACAGGGACCTTGTCTGTTCTAGCCTGGTGTGTGTTCCACAATAGATGCATAGTAATGTTTATCGAATGGAGGAACATAAACCTCCCTTATCCATTATAGAACACTTAGAATCATTTCTTCTTGAAGGTTCTTGAACACGTTCCCTTGCTGCTGTATATCTTGGCAGCAAAGACATTGATTCTCTGCCTGGCGTTTGCTGGAGCCAAAATGTACCAAAGGAAACGGTTGGCAGCACAGCGGCACAAACTGGAAGCTGAAAAGAAGCAGCAGTCAGAGAAGAAAGAGGACTAAAGAGAAGCCAGAGGTACTGGGACTCGGCAAGTGTGGAACGGACGTGGGTTGGGTGGCCGGCCGGTCAAGGGATGTGCGAGTTCCGAGAAACCCGTACCCCTCGGGTGGGTCTGAGGCTGTGTGAGGGCGCGTGGCCCACCTGTCCCTGAACGGCTCTGTCAGTCGAGGGGTGCAGAGCCTGACCCTCTCCGCTCTGCTGATGAGCCAGGGAGCGCGTAGTTAGTCCACGCCTCGGTGGGCCTCCTCATCGGGAGCCGCGGTGCCTGATAGGTACTGGGTCACGGCGCTGTTGAGAATTTAATAAAAGCTGTGAGCCATCTCCTCAGGAAAGCTCTCATGCAAGTACGTGTAAGTCTGAGATAGGGGACGGGAGGGGGTGGATCACATGTCATGTGAAACCCTCGCCTGTACCCAAGACTAAGAGACTCTGCTCTCTACTACCTTCAGGATGAGGTCGTGATTCCTGGGTGTGGCCTGTAAATCCCTTCCCTGTGTGTCCTTAACCCAGGACACATTTGTCCCCTCTGCTGCTGCTACCCATGCTCCTGCAGACCGTGATAGACTTATGCCCCTTGGCCTTTGCCTGTGAGTCCCCTGGCCCAGAGGGCCCTTCCCAATGACCTCGGGAAGCCATTCTCATCCTGTGGCCCAGTGCCTGTCACAGCGCACACACAAGAGGGGCCCAGAATGTGTCGATTGAGGCACCAGGAAGTTGTTCAACCCCCACTACAGACTGAATATATGACATTGAGCAGCTCCTTAATTCTGGTGTGCTGACCCAGTGTCTTCATTTGTCAGGCCGAGTTCTGTGCTGCTCTAAACATTAGGACTCAACTATGGTGGCGGGGGATTCTAGATCAGCGGTTACCAAAGTTGGCTAAAGATGAGAATTGCCCGGTCAGGGTGCTTGTTAAAATGCAGGTTCCAGGCTCCGGCCTCTGAGAGTTGTCATTATACCTGTGGTTGGGTCTGGGCATCGTTTCCTTTGGAAACCGTTGCTCTCTCAGCAACAGGTGGCTGTAGGAACCACTGGGCTCGGGACCTCCAGAACCCCTGTCCATCCTGAGTCTATGCTTCTGTAAATATGAGCTCCCTTTAGTAGGATTTTGAGACTTAGTGAGTTTAAAAGCAAACTTATTAGTAATAATAGCAGCCCTTGTAGAATGATGATTATGTGCTAGCATTTTGCTGAGCATTTCATATACAGTGCCATTATTCCTTCTCCCGACCACCCTGTGAGGTCCATTCGGATGGAAACAATGGCTCCCGCTGTCTGTGGCAAAGAGCAGCCGCAGAGCTGAAGCCCCGTGGAACATGCAGCAGGGGAGCTGGGGGGCTGTCAGCACCTGAGCTCCTGTTACTCGCCCATCACTCACTGGTCCTCGGCGAGCTGCAGGCCTCCGCCAGGCAAGAGAAGTTACGGTCCTGGAACCTTGCCTTAAAAAAATCCAAAGTTATATTGTCTGAAACTCAGGAGATGGCCTTAGGGTGGGGGAAGAGCGCACGTGGAAATGAAAAAGCGCGAGAGAAGGCAGTTTTCACTGAAATGTTGATTGAATTTCCATTCCAGACAGTCATCATTCTGTGTGTGACACAAGCAGAGGAAGGAAAGATGAGATGTGAGACCATCAACACTTCTTCGTCCCACAAACGTCACCAGAGGCCGGTCAGTGGCGCAGGGTGGGTGGCATACACGCTGGGCTGAGAGCGGACCGGGGGCTTACTTCCTCCCCCACAGGCTGGCAGCTCATCAAAGCCCGGAGTCTTGTATTAAACAAAAGGGATTTTTCCGTGGAAGGGAAATTGTGCTGCTAAAAATACATTCATTAATAGATACACTTAGTGGTTTCTGCTGGTTAAGCCTAAATGGCTGACTGTAAGTGTTAATGCTGAGCAAGTAAAACACTGGCCATTATCTTATCAGACGTTTCCTGTTTATCCCCTTGGTTCTTTTCTAGATTTTGCACTTTAAATGTCAGCTTGAGTGGACTCCAGCCGAGAAGATGACTTAATGACTGAATTGTGTGTCAGAGGATAAGTTTCCAACCTATAGCTTTAACTTAAAAATAATGTGAATTTTTACATGCTTTTAGAAGAACCAGTATTTTCTTTAGTAAAATAAAATGCCTTTGTAAAAACGGTGTCTGTGGTCTTTGGAATAGGCCACCGTGGACATGGGGACACACACACACCGACACACCCCCTGTGTTGTGAGAGGAGGGAGTTGTGTAAACTCACATCCCCCCTCCCAGCACTTCCAGCTACAGGGCCCAGATCCGGTGAGGCCCCCGCGGAGGGCTGGGCCGCAGGAGTGGCACCTGCTGTGGGGGAGGCAGCCTCCACCTGCTCACCCTCACCCACCCACCCCTCCCGCCCTCCCTCTAATCTGCTGCCCTTGCGGCACTTTTTCTCCTCTTTCCTCCTAAGAGCACTGTCACCCTGTTGCTTGTTTTCGTTGCGGTGGAGGGAAGCTCTGTGCTCATCCAGGAGGCGCGCGCAGTGGCCTGCTCAGCAGGTGGAACCAGGTCTAGGACGGGAGTGAAGAGAAGCCCCTGGGTTCTTGATGAGCACGCATCCATCACATTAGCCCTGAACTGCCACCTCAGTACTTACTGTTTTGGGGGGCGGGGGTGGGTACCTTCCATTTTGTTTAAATCTCTGGTTAGGTCTCCACTCCTAGGTGGATCTAGTGCCCCCGGCCTTGTCTCCATTTGTAAAGTGAGCTTAATGATCACTGCCCTGCCTGTACAAGGTGCTTGTCTGAACTGGATGGGGTCACGTATGTAAACATGGTTTGTGTACCAGAAATGATCACACGTGGACGGAGTGCGTACCGCTTGGTTGGGCACCTGAGCCCCCTGATTGGCCAGGCGTGGCTCCAGGAACCCAGTTGAGCCCAGGCCTTCCTCAGGTGGACAAGGCCAGAGCCTTTGTGTCTTTACCTCTGGGCCCGTTCCAGGGCAGCGCCATTCTAACATTCTACCCACAGGAGTCACCCTGGCCCATGGGAAGGGAGTGGGGACGTGGCTGTTGGTGATGGTGCGGGCCATCAGCCAGCCTCTCAGGAGACCAGCTCTGCTGGTGTCAGGAGGCTGCCCCTGAAGAGATTCCGGGCTGTGCTCACCAAACTCCCTGTCCACCCACCAGAAGGAACCTCTTATTCGTTCCCTAACTTATCGCAGATGGTCTTACAAGAGAGGCCGAGAACAAAGTTTCCTTTGATCAAAGTATCTTAAGATGTGTTTCCTCTTACTATGCTCAGTCATAAAAAGCACGAATTTCCCTCAAAGAGCGAAAAGGAAATGAGGTGAGCCACATTAGGGCTACATGTGGACGCTTGCTGCAACCCGAACCGGCACTACAATCGCAGGACCTCCTGTTTATTAAGGTGGCAGACGCGTTGGGGCGGCTTGCCGAGTACTAAGCATTTTAAAGCCCTTGATCCTCGTTTACTAATAGTTGAGCCTCCGGGAACTAAAGTAACTTGTCCAAAGTCTCACAGTTAATAAGCTGGAAACTTGAGATTCCAAGTAGGTCTATCGGATTCCCAAAGCTCAGTGTACTTTCCATTACTTTCTGCTGGAAGTTTCCAGGCTTCGTATAAAGCAGCACTCTTAATTATGAATGCGACATTATGTAACTAAATTGCACAGGAAACGTGGTCCTTCTGATCTTGCTGGTTGTACTGATGTTCTCTCCCCTGCTTTTCTAAACAAGGCCACAAAGCAACAGAACCCTAAACTCGTCTTACTAGAATGTTTTGGCTTTGAAACGAAAAAGAGCTTTTGTTGGTTTATCTTGCTCATCTGATAACCTAAAAACCTTTTTTTTTCTCACTGCAAAATAATGTGGCTTTAAAAGGTCTTCTGCGTCTTGCTCAGTCTTGTGTTGAAACACATTTTTCTTGTGGCGTCCAGTTGGGGGTGGCTGTTTTTGCCAGATGTCCGGGTTGATGTCAGAGGTGAGCCTAGCGCCATGTGAGTGGGAGAGTGAAAAAGGAAAGACGGCTTCGATAGCTAAGCCACGCATGGTGGTTAGGTACACAGGCTTTAGCATCTGGCTGGCCCGAGGGACCGCCCAGTGCCTCGGTGTCCTCATCTGTAAAATGGGAAAGCGATAGACCCTGCCTGATGGGGCTATGAATGATGGCTCTAAGTGTGAACCTGGACTTGTACCTCAGCTGCTCCACACTGGAGCCAGTTACATAATCTTTCTGAGCCTCGGTTTACCCCATCTGAAAAGATAATAGTGGTTCCTACCTCACAGACTGTTGTGAGGATTAAATGAGTTAAACGTGTAGCTGTTGGTGCGTTTTACAGAACTCTTGGTACGTGTGCAATAAACGGGATGTTGGAACACAACTCTCATGCTCCAAACCCAGGCTACCTCCACGGGCCTGCACAGTGCCAGCACGTGAAGTCACCAAGGAGGCCTGAGGCTTACCGTTTGCTCTGAAGGAACTGAAATTCCAAAACATCCATGAGACAGCTAGTGAAAGACCACCCAACAGTTATTTCACTAGGTAATTGTCAATGGGGAATGCAGTACGTATTCCACTTGGCAGAAGACTTGTTAGCACTTGTGGTCACCTGAATAATGGTCCCCAAAGGCACCACTGGAACTTGTGAATATGACCTTATACAGGTGTCCTCATAAGAGGGAGCCAGAGGGAGATTGGAGAGGAGAAAGCCAGCTGGCCAGGGAAGAGACTGGAATGCTGCCGCCGCCAGAAGCTGGAAGAGGCAGAGCCGATTCCTCCTCAGCCTCTGGAGGGAGCGTGGCCCTGCGGACACCTTGATTTTGACTCTGAAACTGATTTCGACTTCAGGCCTTCAGAACTGGGAGAGAATAAGTTTCTGTTGTTTTAGGCCATGAGGTTGGTGGTGCTTTGTCACAACAGCCACAGGAAACTAACAGCCCTGTTGGCTGTACAGTGGGATGTTCAAGACCTGCAGCTGCCTGGTTCCAAGGGGCTGGCGTTTGTAGGTGCGATTCATCCCCAGATAAAATGCATCATAACAAGGTGCTGCGACTTCCACCACTTAGTTGCTAAATAGCCTCAAATAGGCTATTTTCATCTGAGACAGAATTTCTGAATAATCCAGGGAGGTTCAGGAGGCAAGCAAGGCAGGAAGACAAGCCTGGAATCAGATCTTTCTGCATATGGCTGTCAGGAGCCTGGCCTCACAGCCTTATATATAGTTAAATCCGTTGGGAGTTGGGTAGAAATTTGTTTAAGTTATATTTGACACACCCCGGTAAAATTACTTGCATTAAAATTACTTCCTGAACGTGTATAAATAAGAGTGGACTTTATGATAATGTTTAATAGCAGGCAGGCCTTTTTCTCAAAGTGAATATTACCACCCCAAGTCCTTCCAACCTTCACAAGCAGCACCCCCAAACTTGAATAAGGTGCGGTTGTACCCGCTGTGGACCCCGGGTGCAACCCCATGGAGGAGCTGGATGACCTACCACCTGCTGGAATTGGGGTGGGGATGGGAGATGGATTGCATAAGTGGCTCCCCAGACCCCTGTTCACCCACCAAGTGCCACTTGAACCAATCGCTGTCATAGCTTTCCAGGTTCCTTACTGGGACCACCAGCTTGCCTGCCTGGATGGGGTTCTACCTCTTGGCTGCTTCTCTCTTACCCTCCGCCACCTTGCCTTCGAGCAATGGGAAGGGATGCCTGTTCAGCCCGTCTGGACCACAGCCCCGGCTGATGGCAAGCTGGCTCCCTGTGGATTTTGGTGGGCTGAAACTGGTTGGCACACTTGATTTCAGTGTTCTTGTGACTGCACACTTGGTTCTTTTTCTCAGACCTAAATTTTGACCACACAACCTTTAGCTTTGCTCACCCCTGCTCACCACCAAGTTCCTTTGAGCTGGATGAGCCCAAGTCCTCGCACTGACATAGTCCTTCAAGTCACCTGAACAAGATGGGAGTCAAGATCCTTGATTTACCCAGAAGCTTTAATGAAACCTCCAGTATACCTGAAGCACTTTACCACCACCCTTAGGAGCCTAAGTCCTCACAGCATCCCTGTGAGGTCACTGTTGGAGTATCTTTGGCTGCAGGGGTCCAGAGTCAAGCCCAGGGAGTTGGTAAAGACCATGCTGGTAGCACAATCTCGCTGCTTGTTGGAGGAATCACACTTAAGAAAATTTACCCAGATAGTAGTTTTCCCATCTCCGCACTTTGTTAGTTAGCATTCTCCACTTGCTGGGGTTTATCCTTTCAATCCCTTTGCTAATTAAACTGCTGAGAAGTATATACTGGTACTCACAGGCACTGTCAATGGACTGCAAACAAAAATCCTTTCTGTTGTTGATGATAAACCATTTCAGAGAAGACCAGGCTGAGTCTAGAGGGTTCAGATAATTGTACGGGGAAGGCAGAGAGAGTAGTTCGTGGCCACAGGACTTGGCCACCTCAGGGCAACACACGATGCTCGTTAAGTTAATGACTGATGGGACATGGGCCTGGGCCTGAGACTCCTTGTTTTTCATTGGCCTCATCTCATCCTGCCGCCTTCCATCTTTGACCACAATGGCGCACCTCCCGTAGGCCTTCCTGGCCACATCACAGAACTCAAAGAAGAGGTTTTTTTCTTGTCTGACACATAACTCATCTCTTAGGAAGATCCTGTATTTCCAAGGCACCCATCCTTGACTCCCGCCGGCATGCACAATATACCAAGTTGGACTTCGCATGAAATATCCATCACTAAAATCTTCCCCAGTGATAAGACTTTCTGGGATATCGGTTTCCCCAAAATACACAGTCTTAAAGCCATCGTATTGCAGTGTCCTCAGGGTTTTCAAATACTGGAGGCATTTCTTCCGCTTGATACTATCAAATGGACTTTTGATAATGATGTGTCTTAAAAGAGGGTTTGCAAAGTGAGGCATGGTGGTTCCCCAAGTGCTTTTAACAGCTTACATGTCTCCACCTGTGGAGTTCTGGCAAGAATGGGGTGATGACCTCATAAAGGGCTTCCTTACAGCTGGAACAGTCCCATAGATACACTTTGGATTGCAAAGCATCATGGAACACATCCTCACAACAACTCCCATCTAGCTTATATGATATGAGAATGAGAAATGCCATCCATATAAAATGTTTCTTTGACATCAGTTCTGCTCTAGACCTGGGACAGGGATGGGCAATGGTATTAGTTTGCTAAGGCTGCCGTCACAAAATAGCACAGGCTAGCTAACTTAAACAGAAATGAGTTTTTCCACAGTTCTGGGAGCTGGCAGTCCTAGATCAAGGTGTTGGCAGGCCTGGTTTTTCCCAGAGCCTCTCTTCTTGGCTTGCAGATGGCCACCTTCTCAGTGTCTTCACATGGTCTTTCATCTATGCAAGCAAGCACATGTTTCTGTCCTAATGTTGTCTCCTTATAAGGACACCTGCCAGGCCTTGGAGGTGACTGGGGTTGATGTCCCAGAGCCCAAGAGGGACCAACAGAGAGGCCTCAACACCAAGCCAGCAGCCACCCCTGCAGAGACCCCTTTTGTACTCCACCCTCACCATCCAGGGAGAGGCCTAGCCTCATGTGGGCCGGACCAGGAAGTAGCCTGCCCTGGCTGCGAACTGGGGCCTGGACTCAAGCAAACCATCGCACCACGGATGCCAGAGGCACTCAGGGAACCATTCCCCTTCCCGCCTTCTCTTGATGCCGCACCTTGTTGGCTTCCCCGCCTTGGCTGTGGTTTCCACTGGGGGCTACTGAGGGCCTGGGCTTCACCAGAGTCCCCTCCCCGAGTTTAGAGTTTAGAGGGTGATGGAAGGACCATCAGGGGGCAGTATCATGTGCCTCCATGATAACTTAAGAGCAGCTCCACCTCCCAGGACAGGAGATAGGACCTTACCAGCCCCAGAGCGGCCTAGCCCCACACCCCTTCTCCATTACAGTCTTCCCTGTCAGCCCGCAGAGTAACTGCTCTCTGCTTTTCTAGGGAACACTTCTGTATTTCTTTCTCCACTGCCCGGGTAACTGGTATTCCAAGGTGGAACACTGTAACATGTTTAATTCATTTAAATTAATTTCATATAATTGGGAGATAAAGTTTGTTCCTGTTCAAAGACAGAAAGTGACAGAAATCTGAACTCAGTGTGTAGGTATTGCTGCAGTTCTGTTGGGCTGCTTTCCACCTGGCACAAATCATGCTCATCAGAAAAGAAAAGGGAACATTTGGAGACTAGTTACACCAACACCCTCACGCACACCAACAAATAAACACAACTCAAGCACTGAAACAGTTACCACACATAAATAGATGTGTGTGTACATGTGCTAGTTTATTCCACACACTCTGTTGTGTAGGAAGCATCGGTTATTTGAATCATTCACATGGGACTCGGGCACTGTTGGGGCTCCTCACCCCATTCCTAAGGCCAGAGAGATGGCAGGGCCCCGAGGCTGTTCTTCCGCACTGATCACTGTGGGCACCGGGGAGGTGCCCAGCTCCAACCCTGTGGTCCCGTCACTCGGGCACTGGACTCCTTCTGGGGCTAAGAACGTTAAGGACAAGGTCTGGCCCACCTAAGGAGGCCCCAAAGCCACTGCCTCAGGAGGCCCAGTCACCTTGAGGGGGATCTAGAGCGAGTGAGCCAAGCCAAAGACCCCCCCCCACCACCACAAGTCTCCAACTCGGGAGCCTCTGTGTGGCCCTAGACTTGGGGACAGCTCTGCCCCGTCTCTCCCCTCGGTGGCCCTGCCCTCCCTCTTCCTCTGCAGGACAAGTATGACAATCTCACCACACACAGGGAGAGGGTCTGCCATCGGCTTTCGGCCTGGCGTCTTGAACCTCCTTTGAGTCATCGTCCCCGAGCCTGGCACCCTCCAACAAAAGGCAGGACAGGAAGGAAAAACTGCCGAGAACAAACCCAAATTTACAACTCAACCAACGACCCCGCCCCGGTATGTGTGTGAGCACGTGTATGTCAGACATTTTCATCCTCCCCATGCCCCCTGGCGGGATAATACTCCCCATGAAACGCATCTGTCATGCGAGGTCACAGAGCCCCTGCTCTGTCAGCAGTTGGGGGTAATAATGTTTCTGGGCACTTAGTGCTGGGATCGGCACTGGCCCCTCTACACAAAGCATCCTGGATAATCTTCACTGGGATCCATGCAGCTGAAGCAATTAACGCCCCATTTGGGGGGACAAGTTGCTTAGAGAGGACAAATGCCCCTTCTACTCTCCTTGCCAACCAAGGGAAGAGTCCCCAGTCACCTCTTTTTCCTACAAAAGAGACTCCAAAAAAACATGCTTCTAATGTACTTTCTGGAGCTAAAGGGAGCTGACTGGGACCAAGGGGGCTTCTTCACACTCCTTGATGCCTCTCCAGAGCTGCTTTTCCTCACAGGTAACATGAGAGAACTGGACCAGGTAAGGGCGAGGTTCATTTCCCCTAAAATCTGATCTTGCTCTTTCTTGTGGAACAAGAAACTCTGTGTGTGTGTGTGTGTGTGTGTGTGTGTGTGTGTGTGTGTGTGTGGAGTGTATATGTGTGTAAGTATGCAGTATGTGTGTATACGTGGGGGTGTATTCACACATGTGCAGGCTCATGAGTGTGTTTCGGTATACCTGTCTGTGAGTGTGTGAGCGTGTGTGTGTTTGTACGGAGTGCGTGTGAATTTTAAATCCTGGGACCTGTGGGTGGACGCCTAGGTCCGGACGCCCTTCCTGTTTTCCCAGCAGCCGAGCCCCAGCGCGCACAGAGAGCGCCTTCCTCCGGCCTGGCCCGGGGTACAGTGCTTCCTGTCGGACACTCCCACGGCCCACGGCCCGCGTTGTTCCCAGCTCCCCACTGCTGGGAACGTGAGGGTGATTACCAAATCTCTTCAGCCTTTCTCAGCTCACTTCTCGCCTTGTCTGGCTGAGGCAAAACTCCCTTTTCTGGCTTCCCCTCTCGCCCTCTGCTGGGAGATAGAACGAGCCCACAGAACTTAAAGCTCCTTCCAGGGTCTGCCTGGAACAACAGTCCTCAACTGGGTACGTGGAGGAATCGTCTCGGGAGCCCTACGGAATTGCTATGTCTTGGCCCCACGCTCAGAGCTTCTGATTGAATTGATGTATGGTCTGGGCATATTGAAATTTTTACAAGCTTCTGTGTGATTCTAAGGTCAAGCCAAGGTGAGAACCGGTGTCTTAGAACAAGGTCTCATTAGGGCCTCGTGGGAACCTGTGGGTGCAGAACATTAGGGCTGGCAGGGACCTCAGGGTTAGTTATGAAAGGAACTGAACAACTTTTTTTCCTCGCGTTCACATATACATATATAGATGGTTTAATATAGAAACATTTGCATTTTATATAAATGAAAAAGACAGAAAGTAGGGAGTGGAACTGGGTTCCTCCTGGCTCCCTATGGTGGCCTGAGGGATCTTCATAGAACATGGTTTCTTAGTCCATCTGGCTGCTATCACAAGTTACCCTAGACGGGGTGAGGGTGCGGGGGTTAACGCTGGAGGCTGGAAGTCCAAGATCAAGGAGCCGGTAGATCCAGGGTCTGGTGAAGGCCTGCTTCCTGGTTTGCAGCTGGCCCCCTTCTCACCGTGTCTTCACATGGTGGGCAGCAGAGAGAGGCGGCAAGCTCTCGTGTCTCTTCTTATAAGGATGCTAATCCCATTCATTAGGGCACCACCTCTCCCCACCCCCACCCCCCCATCCCCAGCAAGGCCTTACCTCCTAAAACCGTCACAATGGAGGTTAGGATTTCAACATACGAATTTGGGGGGTGGGACAGACACAAACATTCAATCCATAGCACACAGTTTGAGAACCTTGGACCTGGTTCAACTCTGTGGTAGCCATTAGTACCCTTCCCCAGATTTTTTGACTCTCGACCTTCCAGACACGTGGCAGGTAGGGTGGCACTTCTCCGCCCCCTTGTGGTTGGGAGTAGTCATAGGCTAATTCTAGCCAATAAGTGGCCGGTGGAAGTGATGGTGTCCCTTCCAGGCTGCAGCATTTAATCACCCAGGGAGAGTCTGACTGGAAGCCATTGCCCCTGCTTTCTCATCTCAAAGCACCAGAAAGCCTGGGAAGGAAACAAGATGCTGGCTGTGGCCACACCTCCATCTGCCCAAAGTGCCCATGGCTCAGGGAGGCTCTCCCAGCCCCATGCAAGTGCGTGGCTCCTGGCTCAAGGTTCCAGGTCAACCCAAAGCTGTTCCCATCACAAGAAAGTTGGGCCTCTTCTCTGGAGGCCTCGTTGCCTTGACTTTCAAGGGATCCTTTGGATTTCGGTTTGGGGTTCACTGTGTCCACACATGGGCCCCAGGCTGGCCTGGTTAGGCTGCAGGACGGCTCTGTTGCTAATGGTCAGTGTGGAGCATTTGACTTCCTTGCTCTGGAGTCCTTTCTTTTTCAGTTCGGAAGTCAGATTCGAGTAATAAAGATCTTCCAAGGACTTATCGTTCTTTCTGAGGATGTTGCTGGCCAACCGGAAGAGGAAAATCACTCCGTAGATGCCAAATATGGTGAGGACGTACCAGGCAGCGCTGGTCCCATCTGGAAGCTTCAGGGCCCGGGTGGAGTTGCCGCCATTCCTCCCCTCCATGTAGGCCCTCAGCAGGTGCCCCAGGGCGGAGCTGGCCTGGGTCTGGTTGGGGCCTGCCTGAGGAGTCCACTTGCTCACTGAGAAACAGAAAGATCCAGATGAGACCCGGCATCCCTGGCTGAGGGCTGCCTGGCCGAGCCAATGACAGCATGGTCCTCACATCACTGGGAAACAAGAGGCCGCTGAAAGAGGCTTTCTTTGTTGAATGAGCAGGAGCCTAGCAACATACACGTCAATATATTTTTAAAAATCAAGAGTTCAAAACACCAAGTTCTTGAATAGGAGATGGAACGTCATAAAGATGTCAGTTGTCCCTAAAATAATCTACACAACGAACGTAATGACAATACAAATATCAGTAGAATTTCTTTGTAAAATAGGCAAACTTTGCATAATGAAAAATCAGCTGTCAAGACTAATTAGGAAGAATGTGAGGAAAAGAGTGATGAATGGAAATTAGCCTAGCCAGAAATTTAAAACTAACCAGCCAGGAAAAGTAATTTAATTTTTTTGGAATGAATAAATATTTTACTTGTTCCACAGTCCAGCTGTGGCTTAGAGGGCTTTGCAAAGGGTATGGGGGCTCTTCAGAACCAGGTACAACTCTCCCTGAAAAGTCTCCCCATAAAAATACAGTAGCTAAAACTCTGTGCTACAATACATAAACAGGTAGACCAACAGAACAGAGTAAAATGCCATTAAAAGGTTAGGAATTGGAATTCCGTAGATAATAAAGGGACAGTCCTGCCCAGTAAGAAAAAGATGGAGTCAATAAGTAGCATTGAAGCGATATAGCATTGGGTTCACATCTCTCACCTTATGTCCAGAAACAGTGCAGAGAAATCAAAGATTTTAACATTAAAAAAAGAAATAATTTAAAGTACTAGAAAAAAGCATGGTCTATTTTTTTCCCTTTATCATCTCAGAGTGGGATATTCCTGTCTAAGCCTAATACAAAAGTTCAGAGGGGGAAAAATAAGAAAGAAAATGTTCAATGCAACTACACAGAAAATGTTAAAGTTATTACATACTGTAAAACCAAAAGACAAATGAGAATAATTACAATTTATATCACTAAATTGATTAATAGCTTTCAGTTCTGTAAGAAAAAGTCCAAAACTCCAGTAGAAAAATATGCCAATGATACGGACAATTAGTTTATAGAAAAAGAAATGGGCCTTGACCATGTAAAAAGCTTCTCCATATTACTTGTGATAAGAAAAACACAAATTAAAACTACAACAAGGTAACATTTTATTATCTGTCAGTTTTTCAAATTTCCGATGTTTCAGAATACACTGTGTGGATATGCCTGCAGCATTATTGGGACTTTGCGTAATTGCTGGTGAGAGTGTAAATTCATACAACCAAGATGAAGGGCTTGCTGACATTACCAATGCACATACCTTCGATCCAGCAATTCTACCTGTAGGAATTTATCTTAAAGATACACTGGAACATGGTTGAAACAATGCATGCTTACGGTTAGTCACTTCAGCATGATGACTAATGCTTAAGACCAGACTGAATAGCATCCATTTAGGGGATGGTTTAATACATCTTGGAACCTCCATGCAGTGGAATACTATGTAGCCATAAAAATCAGTAAAGAGGGGTTTGGGGGGGTACTAAATATTAATAAATGGAAAAGTAACCCAACTGTGATATAGTGTGAAATCATATAGGTAAACAAAGGGGGATATGTTATCTGCTTGAAGCATAGATGTATTATTATATCTTTGAGAGAATATACAAGAAATTGGTACCTGTGGTTGCCAACAGGGGACAGAATTAGGGGAAGGAGGATGTGCTTTTCACTGATGCCCTTTTGTACACTTTTACCATGTGTATTTTAAAAAAGAAATTAATTTTAAAAAGGAAGAGTACAAGTGGGTGCTTTCCTGGTTTCCTTGGTGAAGTGCCCTTGGGTAAAGACGCTATGTGCCCTTCCAAGACCAGATGATTAAGATCTTAATTGCTGTTTAATTCAAAACTGTTTTCTGTCCTAGGGGAGCCCATGAAAATGAAATGATGAAAGACAGAGAAGTAGCACATAAAACTGCGGGGCGTTTTCCCATGGAGCTTTACCAGTTCAAACCCCTATTTCTCATTCTGTGTGAACACAGATGTGTTCAGACATGTCCTAGGATAAATCACATAGTTTGCTGCTGGGTAGGCCAAAGGTGCTCCATAAACGCTTTCTATTTGATATTTGTTTGTTGCTAACTCATTTTGCTAAGGCAAGATTCCGAGAGGCTGGTGTTTTTTACTACAGTCAATTGTCAGAATGAGTGAGTAATCTTATTACTTTTAGATGAAGGGAGAAACCATTTAAAAACCAGTCTATAAACCACCTGTAACTAAGCCCAAATGAACAGATTTAATTATATAAAATATTTTATCAGGAATTTTATACTACAGTTGGTGGAATGTTTGAGAACTTTAAGTACAGAAGGGGGAAAATTCTCCTAATTATTAAAAGACAACAAGACAACATCATGCACTTAATTAGGGCAAGAGAACTTGTTTAAAGTCAGAACACATGCACAAACTCATAGAACTTTCTGTGAATTATTATAGAATGATGTCATATGTTCAAACACATATAAAATATAACCAACTACAACTACAGAACATTAATTTAAAACCAGTCCATTTTCCACATGAAAAAAAAACTCACTATATTAATTATTGAAGTACATTGTTCTTTATTTTTTCTTAAAAAGATAAGAGTAACTTAGGTTATGTATCTTAGTGGATAAAACACATCTTGTAGAAGAGACAAACCTTTTCATCTGTGCTATTTTGCACTTGTAATGCTGTAATGTGTAAATAATTCGAGAACTACCCATCCTTGCATCATAGCAGAATACTTACTTTCCATGAGGTGGTCTTTCCCTTGACTCTTGGGGAGGCAAGTTTAAGCAGGTGCGTGGAAAGGGAAGATGATGAAAGGGAGCTCCTGCTCTTTGCAAATGGTCACAGTCTCACTGAAGTCGGGCTGCACTGAGGTTCCTCAGCAGGGAGTAACATGACACCCCCAAAATGTTAGGGCAGTACCAAACAGGAAGCAATTGGATGACTTGTCTCTCATTCAATTACTCAGAGGATCTAAGTTGATCTGCCTTCTGTTGGCTTAGAAGAAAAGCAATTTCTGGCTCTGGCTTGTTGAGAAGGTCGAAAGCAAAAGAATTGTTTAAAAACTTGCTGGTGCCAAGGATTCTCCAGCCTTCCCAGGTCCCATCCAGCCCTGCAGTGGCGGCAAGCTCTCCCCAAGGTTGGCTCACCAGCTTATAGCCTGGATGGTTCCTGAATTCCCCTGTTTTGCACCTGTTGCAGGTGTGGCAGAAGGTCAGGTGTGCAGAGGCCTGTTGTCATAGGGCCAGGAAACTCCATGGGCAAGAGTCACCAGCTTCCTCTTGGATTGTTTCCTGGATGAGGAAACGCAGACCGGAAGGAGCAGGTGCAGGACTCAACCGTGGGGCCTTGGGTTCCCCGCAGGGACCAGTGAGCAGTGGGCTCAGAGGCCAGGCTGTGGGGGGTTGGCACTTCTCTTTCCCACACCCTTGAGTCCCAGACCACATTGGAATCAAAGTATATTGAATCGAAGCAGATTTATTCCAGCACTTTCCAGTGCCCAAGCAAGAATCTGGCAGAAAGGGGAACTAAAGGAGGAAAGCTTGGGAGGTTTTGGCAGGTTTTATCATGCCTCCGTTATTCCCAACCCCATTTCTCCTGAATCCCCACTAACATGACCATGACTTGCCAAACTGGTGAGAGCTGTTAGTTTATAAAGTGTAATTTGATCAAATTTCCACCAGTGGGGGACTAGATAAGTAAAGATTAAAAGTAGGCCATGTGCTCCAGCAATTCCACTCCAAGGTATATACCCAGGGGAAATGGAAGCATATATCCAGACAAAACTTGTATACAAATGTTCATGACAGCATTATTCACAATAGCTAAAAAGTGGAAACCGCCCAAATATCTATCAGCCAATGAATGAACAAATAAAATGTGATTTAGCCATGCAACGGAATGCTATTTGGCAATAAAAAGAAATGAAGTACTGACACTATGTTACAACATAGATGAGCCTTGCAAACACTATGCTAAGTGAAAGAAGCCAGTTACAAAGGGCAATATGCTGTATGCTTCCATTTATATTAAATGTCAAACAAAAATAGATCTATAAAGACAGAAAATAGATTAGTTGTTGCGTAGAGCGGAGGTGTGGGGTGGGGGTGATAACTAAAGGGTGCAGGGCTTCTTTTTGGGATCACGAAAGTGTTCTGAAATTGATTCTGGTGTGGCTGCACAACTCTAATGTACTAAAAGCCACTGAATTGTACACTGTAACAGTGGATTTTATGGTATGTGAATTATATTTTAATAATATAGGTATACAATGGAATACTGTGCAGCTGTGAAAAAGAATGAGGAAGTTATTTGTGTACTGCTGTGTAAAGATCTCCAAGATGTATTATTGTTGAATGAAAACAAAGAAGAGAGTATGTTACCATCTATGCAAAAAAGTAAGGAGAAAATCATATAAATCTGATTTTTGCTTGTAGCGGCATTGGAAAGTCACTTTAAGGATGGCCAAGAAAGTAAGAACAGAAGTTACATGGGGGTGGAGAAGAACTGGGCAGACAGGGGGCAAGAATAGGAGGGAGAATTCTCACTGTGTATTCTTTACGCTTTAAAGAATTTTAACTATGTGTCGTATTACCTATTGATAATAAATACACCCATTAATTAAAAGTAAATCTTTGTTAAAGCTCTATTTAGGCTCCTGCTGTCTCTTGCTATGAAATGGCTAGACCACGGCACTTCCGGCTCTGCCATACACACAGGGATTTCCAACACTGACCGTGTGAGGTGAGAAGGGGCAGAATGGAGGCCCTGGATGAGAAAGGACAAAGGGCAGTGACAAGGGCTAGGAGTCGGCTGCGGCCCCAGCTGAGCCCTTGCTGTGTGACCCCAGGCAAGTCCCCTGCGCTCTGAGCTGCAGTTTCCTCATCGGTAAGGTAGCCTCTAGTCCCAGGAAGGCAGGAAGGAAGCCGGGGCCTGAGGGAGGGCCACTCCTGGTGGAGGCGTCTGAACTGGAAAGCTGCCAGCACAGGCGCCTGGGGAGAGGAGGGGCTCGCTTGGGCAGCTGGGGCCCAGGAGGTGGAGGCTTCAGAGAGTGTGTCACCTGTGAAGTCATAAGGTTTTGGCTTTCAGCTCAGCAGGAAGTGGGGAGTACATCAGGGAAGATGACCTTTTGTCTCATCCACACTGGGACGGGGCACTAAGGTTACAGAATAGCTGTGTCAGGTGCTTTCCACATGGTTTCTGCTTCTAGAATCTCTGCAAGGCAGGAATATTGTTTCCACTTGAAGGCAGGGACACTCAGCCTCAGAGAAGCGACATGCCCAATGTCGTACAACTCATAGGCCAGAGCTGGAATGACTGACACCAAAGGCGTTCTCCCTCCACAACCCTGAATATCACCTTCAAGCTGGACCCAGGGTCCCATGAATTCTCCTGAGGGCTTGCCCTACAGGTTGAATTGTAGACTGTCACTGCTGAGGCATATCCATGACCTTGAAACCCTCCTTGTTGGTCAAAATTATATCATGATATTAAAAGACAGGATAAAGGATATCCTTCAGCTGAGGGTAAGTGACTAGAGGGGGCAGAGAGGGGCTCTGGGGTGCTGGTCACAGTCTGTTTCATGGGTTTGTTCTGTTTGGGGCACTTCATAGAACTGTATACCTATGTGTGTTCACTTTTTTGCATGCATGGTATACTTCCATGTAAACCTCACCCCGTTGTTTTGTTTTTTTTTAAACAGAGAGAGCCTTGATAGG